CGGCCAGTTTTTAACCAGCTGGGCAGGTTTTAGGTCAGTGTATCACAGGCCCCTGGAAGCTTCAGCCATTGCAAAGATCTCTACCTAATTTGGTGGGTGATTTGGTCACTTCTCTTTTGATTTCTCAGGTTGTCACCATGGGGATGAGTGACCAGGCAGTAGCTGGACAGCTTAGGTGCTTGTAATGGATGTTAACACACCTCTGGCACAGCACATGGTGCTCACCATCCTCATCTACTTTGGGGCTGGCTGAAGGCAGCATCCCCAAGTGATAAGGATAAAGGGTGATAAGAGACCCACAGTTACCTTGGGTTGCAAAACTGACAGAGGCTTTGGTTGTGAAGGTCTTGGCAGAGATCTTTCATTCTCTAGACAAACTCTCCTGGGTTTTTTTCCCCAACCTTTGGATGAGATCCATTGCCACAGTGGCTGTAAGCTGCACTGCTGACCCTGACAGGTGGCATTACACAGATTTCAGAGCTGGCATTTAGCCACTTGGCTTGGCAGGAAGAAGCAGAGTCCCTGTGTGTAGGCTGGGTAGCAGGAACGTGCCTTGCTGCAATTCATCCCCCACTCGTGCTTGTTTACACCCTTCACAGTTTAAGCCCTGTCCTCCATGCCAAAGATTATGCTTAAATTATGAAGGATGGTTATGAGGAAGCTCAAGGCAACACTTATCTGGGCTGTTCTAATTTTTCCACAGAATAAAGGACTTCAAAGCACCTCTGTGTGATTAACATGTTGTAGATACCAAGCTCTACTGTAATAGAATTAATGACATGGTGCTGCAGTTTTAGGTCCTCATAATGAGTAACAGTTCCACTTTAAAATATGATCTTCTCCTCCTAAGCAAACCCTTCACAGCTCTGCAGGTCAAGGTTATTTTCTTTGCCACAGAAGAGAATTTTTTCACCTCTATACTAAAATAAAAGTCTTAAATTTCTGAACCTTCTGGTCTTTATGTGGTGTAAGTTTGCTCAATCAATTGAAAAGGTACTTAAGAGGATTACCCTGCATAAAATCTGGGCTTATGTTGTTAAAATAAATGTTTGAAACCCAACCTGGTAGAGTGCTAAATTAAGCTCTCCTAATTAAACATATATAATACAAATAATACAAGCTCCCTTCTCCAGTGATAACTTTCCTTGTCATTTCATTGTGTAAAAAATTGGTAATTCTCCCTAGAAATGGAATCCACAGATTTATTTAGTCTCCAGCTCCGCGGCCAGATGGAGGATTCAGAAGAATCCAAGCCAACGTTTTCAAAAAATCCAAGGAGGGATTTTGCATACTTTCTTTGAAAATAAACAGCTTGTGTCAGCTCCAGCTGACAGTGAAGCAGCCCAAGTCGCTTGTCAGATGCACATCACACTGCACGGGGCTCAGCACTCACAGCTCACCCCAAGAAAGAAAGATAATTACAGCAGTTGAAGGACTGCAACAACATCTGATTTGCAAGTAAATGAGATAATCTTCAAGCCTCCAGGCAGTTGGAGGAATGGTATAAAAGCACTTGCAGCTCAAGGTTGTTTGCCTCCTTCTCCCAACTTCCTCTCTTCAGTGGATCAGTCAGATTTGGCTTATTCTTTACAGTTTTGGTTCTGGTGTAAAGCTTTGTTACTCTCAGACTGCTGTAGCTGCCTGCTATAAACAAGTCTCTACTCCCAGCAGTCTATTGTTGGTCTTGTCAGATGTGGATCTGGGGAGGTAAAGTGGGATTTAGAGACCCCTAAAGCATTTAGACAATTTCCACTCCATACATGGGGTTCTAAATTCTCTCTACTTTGTACAGTCCTGCTTATAGAAACACCTTGATATTGGAGATTATCCTTTAAGATGGTTGTTTAGCCAGATTCTTGTCCAATCAAATGTTTTCATTCTTTCATATACAGCTAAAGAAGTTTGGAATTTTAACCTTTTTTCCTCTTTTTGTGCACACATAGATTGATGTCTCCTGGGGGGTGTGTTTAAGGTCTGGGGGGGTAGGAATATATAAAATATATAGAAAAACTAAATTTTCAGGACAGGGCACAATTTTGCCCTGGAAAAATAACTCTATAATTGATGGTATCAGCATTGAATATTTTTTTTTTACAGAAAATTAAAAGAAACTAGAATACCTGTAAGTGGAAAAGCAGCAGGCTGGGCTGAGCCCAGGTCTAATCTCAAACATCAGCTCTCCTCTTCTTTGCAGAACAAGCTATTTTAGCTCCAGACCCTGTTTGATGCCATTTACATTTAGTGTTTGTGCTAATATTTACTTCTGTGTGCTCCTTGACTGGAAATATTTCTTTGAAGGGAGCTTCTTTTTCTGTATTTAACCCACACCTTGAGGCACAAAGGACTCAGGAACTCACCCAAGAAACGTAGGACATCCCATCAGAGACCTCCTGGGGGCAGGTTTCTCCTTCTGCACTGGCTCCAGGAGTGACCACAGAAGTGTCACACAGTCGTGTTTTCTTCAGAGCTCGGCAGAAGCACCAAGTAGCCAGAATTTCTGTTTTGCAATGGAAAGAATCAGGTCTAGCTTGGAATTAGGATGAAATTTGGGTGGCGTTTTTTTTCAGGGTGTTTATTTAGAGCAAGAGATCTGTCCACAAGCCTTAACAGAGCACCCAGCTGCCCTCCAAGCTTCTCTGTCACTCGTGCTGGATGTTCACCCCAGGTGCAGGAAGACACCAATGGGTGACATCCTTCACTTCAAGGAGCTGTGCACCCATTGCAAGGGATCAAGTGTTACCCTGATCTCCTCCCTGTGTTTCAGACTGACCATGAGCTGTGTGTGACATCCTCCAACAGCTCCAGAGCTGTCATTTACCCACCACCTCTCATCCTGACTTTCCCTGGACCGAGTCTCAGCTCTTGCCCAAAGCATCCTGGGCAGCTGTGGACCACTCAGCTCTGGTTGCCCATTTGGTTCTGGTGGACCTCTTGGGTACAGGGGCTATGGAAATACTGTTGGCTTAAGGGGCTCCATTCTCTTTGGGGGTTCAAATGGTTATGGGGGTGCATGCAATTATAGCAGGTCTTACAATTCTGGATACTCATCACTAGGAAGGAGAAACTGTAGCCCATTCTCTTACCTCTGGGTCAGCACCTACAGCCAAGGAAGCTGTGAGCCACACTAAATCCTTCATGGGAGTTCTCTGCAAGAGAGAGATGTCAAAGTTAAAATAGTTTAGAATGTTTTGAGCCACTTTTCATTTTCAAAACCCTTGTTTTCCCCCCATTTTACTGAAAATTTTTATTGCCCTAAAGCTCCATCTTGGAGCAGATTTATTAGAAAAACTTAACCAGCTCAGTGTAGAAGCCTCCTTTCCACTTTATACTTTAGGTTTTGGGCATCTTCTGTTCATACTTCCCAGCTTACACATTTGTTGCACTGTTTCTGCAGTGACGTTCAGTTACAAAAAAATCTGTGCTTTGCAAGTATTGAGGTGTCCCCAATACCCCTGTCTGCTTTAAAATGAATATGCTGTAGAGGGGTAAAAATAGGATCTAAAACTCAAGTTATACAGCTGTAATAAGGAAAGCAGAAATTCTCATACCAAATACATGACTTAATATCTTGAACTTTGTGATATAAATGGTCCTGAAGCATCTGTCTTTATTTCTTATTTTATTGCAGCTGTTTTCTCTGCCTCCCATGACTCATATTGCACAACAGTGACCTGATGTTTATTCTACCAGTTTTCCACTTACCTCTGTTTCAATGAGAAGACCTCTCTTCCTTCTGAGCTCCCTTGTTTCTCTTCCAGACCATCCGGTACGTTTCCAGTAGTCATCAAAAGGTGTTTTTCTTCCAGTCCCAAGCACTCAGTTATGTTGGAAATAAGAGGTTTGGCCCTTCACTTTTAGCACAAAGAATTTCTCTTAGTAGCCAGAGGAAAATCATGCTACGTATGTACCCAGAGCACTCTGTGTGCAGTGGGAAGAAGCTGAAGACAGGGCTTTGCCAGCATAGCAATGGAAATCTATTGCTTGTACTGGCATTTGTATTGCCAGAAGACTTCAAGCAGCAAATACACCTTTAAAAGGTAGTGAAGATACCGAGGACAACTCCTTTTTCTTTGTAAACTAGTGGGAGGATGAAGATGACCTCTGACCCAACAGCCTTTCACGATTGTTTCATCCCTCCCCTTTCACCACAAATCCTCACAAACATTTTAGGGATGTCCACACCTTGTGGAGAGGTGAACAACACACAAACCACCACCAGGACAACTTGTCCTTTGCTGTTAACATCCAGAGGAGCCTGGGTCTCAACCGAGGCATTGGTTTCATGTCATTGTCCAATGGTTTTATGGTGAGGAGAAAAGGAAACCAGAAGGCAAATGTTGTGATGCAATATACACTTTAATTTAAAGAGGACTAGGACTTCACAGCAGCAGAACATGACAATCCAGAGGGTACAGATCACGCTGGCAGGGCTGGCTGGGGATGGACATCGTTGTCTTCTTTGGGGGCTGCAGTCTCTAAGATGATCTTCTCTGTTGCATTTGCAGCATTTGCAAGTTGAGTTGGGTTTTCTGTTTTGTTGGTGGGCTTTTTTTTTGTTTTGTTTCATTTTGTTTTTGAATCGCAGACTATGTGAAATAGGGTCACTCCCAGAATGAAACTGGAGCTTTGAGAAGTTTTTACACTACACCTTAAAAGCCATGAAACATCAGTCTATAGAATAGGCAGGATCTAATTTGCACTGATATTGGATCTCCTATAAACCATTTGAATTTAAACTAAGGCCTTTTCTAGATTTCTCAAGTAAACAGCCCCTCAACCACTGAGTTGGGATCTTGTTAGCAGATACCTAACCCCACAGGAAGGGAAATAGGATGTCTGGGCATCTCTCTCAGGGTGGCTGAGTGTGCTCAGCTCCTGAGGCCCCCCACTGCAGCCTGGTACCCTGCCCCTCTGAAAGCCACATCCCTCTGCTCACTCATGGACTGGGACTTTGATCTGGTCCCCGTTGGGTCCAGGTCCCCAGGGAATCACCATGGGACCTAGCAAGGCCCACAGCTCCCACGACGGTAAGTCGTGTACCTGCGGGAATAGCAGGGGTAGGAGAACCTGCCACCCAGGGAGCTGCTGGAACCAAAGGAGCTCTGGGCATTCAAGGAGCTCCCATAGCCAAAGGAGCTGCCTATCTCCAGCGGGGCTGAGGTGCCCACGATGCTCTCCTGAGGGCAGGAGCTGAGGATGGGGCCCGGGAAGACGATGGACACAGGCGGTGGGTAGACCACGGCTCGGGAGTCCCCGCAGGAGGTGACACAGGGCGGGCGCAGCTCCCTCCAGGGGTGGAGTAGCTGCCATAGTTGCAGGACAGCCTGTAAGAAGACATCTTTCTGGATGGAAGGAAGCCTGAAACACAGGGTGGGGAGAGTACAGGTCAAGGGGGGCAGTGTGGGTGTGTTTGCAAAGAGGAGCCCTCATTTATTCAAACCACAGCATATTCAGAAAGTTCCTCTTCCATAGCCAATAGAAATTGTAATCACAATTTATACGCAGAAATAATGAAGATTAGATAACCTGTTAGAAGTCTGCAAAGCCTCACTAAGGACAGATGAGGATTAACTGAGCAATATATACTTAAAGCTGTTCCTAAAACCATTGTCTTATTTGCAAAGCACTCCCAGGCACAGATAAAATCATTAAATATTCTTTCTCTGAAACATGCAAGCATCTCTTGAAGCATCATGCTTTCCATACAAATCCCAGCCCCTCCAGAGCCTGCCAGGCTGAAAGATCCAAAATCCCTTCTTATGAAAATTACATTCTCCCAGCAATAGGCGAAGACATATTAAGTGCTCAAGCATAAGTGCATTAAAACACTTATTAAACTGACTTTAAAACCCATAGAAAACTGAAGTCAGACTTACTCAGTTCACGGCCAAGGAGAAGCCAAGAAGAGTGGTTTGAAGAGCTCTGTGCTCCAAGAGCTTTTATAGGGTTCCTCGGAGCAGCTCCAGGGGCTGAGCCACTCTTCGGGCATGCGGTCCTTCCTAGTTACAAAACAAACTTTCCTGCATTTGTCACGTCAAAGGGTGGAGGGATCTTTGCATATTGTTTGCTGTTAAGCAATTATGAGTCCAATGGTATCACATCCATGTTGCAGCTTACAGCAATCTTTCATCTCAAAACGGGGACAATATTCATCCTTAGTTTCTACTCATTGCAGGAATTAACTTCCTTCTTCCACTTGTCCGAGTTCCAAAGCACATAACTCAGATCAGCAGAAAACAGGATTGCTGATCTGACAAAATAGACTTATTTCCAAAAAAATATGTATTAATTTTGTCATGCTCGGTGTAAAAGTTTTCAAACCTCCTAGCTGCAAAGGGAGATGAAACTCAGAGACCTTTACATCACCTTGACAAGATCCTTTCTGCTCCCTTTGTATCCCCATTCTCTTTTTTCCTCAATAGGTAAAAAATAAATGAAGCTACAACCCACAGCTCTCAGGTGCTCCAGATGTGATGAGCATCCTGTTCAAGAAGTAGCTCTGTCGGGTAAGGACTTTTCTGCTGTTGAGATTGAGTTTCTACAGCCTATTTTAAAGGGGTGGTGGAAAGGACTATGTGGAAATGGGACTTTCATGCTGCAAAAGTCTCTTACCCCTGGTGATTATTATTATATATTACCCTAGTTAAAGAAAAGTATGAAAAGGAGCAAGGAAACTCTGGTTTAGAAATGCAAAGAAGAAATCAGCCTCATTCACAATCTACTCCAAAATGCTTTTAACAGCTTCTTAGCTCTGAAACACCACGTTGGACCTTTTTAGACAGTGGATCCTGGAGCCTGCAATAAGTATATGTACAACTAGAAAATTGTATCCAGATTCTCATCTGACTTAAACCACAGATGAAAGTGAGTGGTGAGATGCTGGGGTCCTCCTGCATCTGTGCAGAAATTTGATGATCTTAAAGGATTTATATGTCAAAAATATTGCTTATACATTTAGTAATCAGAGACCTGAAGTAGATCACACACGATGCTCTCTCTGGACAGCAAAACTCATTTAAGGAACCATGTCCCTGCTCTACAGTGAGCCGTGATCCTCACTCCTGTGGACTGACCTGGTGGGGTTGAAATCTGTTGTTTTCTTTGCTAATTAAATTAACTATAGAAGTTCTTCACTCTGAGGGTGGTGAGGGATTGGAACAGTCCATCCAGGGAAGTTGTGGATGCCCCTTCATGGGATGTGTTCAAGACCAGGTTGGATGGGGCTTGGAGCAACTGGGTCTAGCAGGAGGTGTCCCTGCCCATGACAGATAACCTAATTCCAGCCCCCTTGCAAGGCCCCTTCCAACCCAAACCAGTCTATGATTTATTACAAACAACAACATTACCCTGGTCTTGCTCCTGAACCTACAACATATAAAAATGGAGAAATAACATCAAGTCTAGACCCAGGGAAAGGTAAGATGTCCCACAGTGGTCTGGAACAGATTTCCAGCACCACCTTTGGCAAGATTTTGGGGAAAGGTTTTTAGATGTCCCCATGGTCCTGCGTGCATTTGTGTGAGGACAACCCATCCTCTGCACTTGCTGCTGGAGGCTCTCTCCAGTGGGGACAGTAATCCTTCCTTTCACCATACCTAAACTAGTTGGTTTTGTTTATTGGTTCCTGACAGCAGTGACTGTCTGAGCTCTCTATTTTCATAGTATCTGGGCGCCAACCTCCTTTACATAAGCCAGGAGATAATAGAATCATAATTATAAATAATAACACTAACAAGTACAAGACATGCCCGTGATCTCCTCCCAGAGGCTCACTTAATTGCCAGGAGATATTTGGTAAATTATTTGTCCTCTGTCTTAATCATCTCTTCTAGAAATCATCAGCAGTAATTTCCCATTTCACGTGGGTGTTACACAGGCTTGCACAGAGCAGTTTTTTACCTGCTGGGAAAACTCCTTAATATAGCACAAAACTGCTAAAGGGAGAGGTTAACTTGGAGGCAGTAGAAATCAGATTAAAATCTGGCTGTGATGTGCACCCAAAGGATACAGTAATCCATGAGATCAGTTTAAATGAAATGAGTTTCACAGGCAAACCCCAAACCCCCAGGATCTGTCAGATAGTCCAGCAGTAGTGAGAGGTCCTCACGCTGGACTCTCCAGATCTTGCAACATATTCTCTTTGGTCCTGTGAAATACCTTGTGAATTAAATCCTTAAAAAGCCAGATGGACAATAGTCAAGGTTGCTGAAGCAGCATTAATGGTCACTTGAGTTAGGGTGTGCTCTTGAAGAGCTGGTGGAAGAACAAGGGATGGTGAAGGGTGTCTATAATCTGGACATCTACAATTTTTTCCTGTCTGTGTTTACAAGGTGGATATTACCCTGTGAAAATGTCTGTGAAAAGTCACCATCTGCAAGTCTTTCAGATGCACACTGTGCAATATGTACCCATGCTGCCATGGCATTTTAAGATCTGAGGAGCAGGCAGGGCCAGTCACAGCCCCAGAGTGAGCACAGCACAGCTCCATACACACAACCACTAATTTGTACAACACCCAAATGAACCGGGTAATTTTTATTGTTGATTTCTTTATGGCATTATTAAAAGACCGAGGCTAAATAACTCAGCCACATTTGTTGATTCAGTGGAAGAGTTGGGAGGAACACTCAGCACACTCATTCTTTTATCTCCTGCACAGGGACACTGACTCAAGCACCATTGTTTGGAGAATTTAAGAAACAAAATAGGAGACTCTCCAACTCCAAGGCACTGACTACCTAAATATACATCTCCAAGACATGAAGAGAAGAAAAATTCCTGACTGCACAACAGAATCATAGAACTGTGTAGGTTGGAACAGACCTTCAAGATCATCAAGTCCAACCGTTAACTAGCACTGCCAAGATCTGCCTTGGTTCTAAGCCCAGTCACAGTAGCTGAGAGCTGGATATTAATTTCTGTGCTTCATATGTAAAAGTTAAGTCCTGCCAGGCACAATCCAGTGCCCTGTTTTGCAATACTCAGTTCTGGGTATTGAAAAATATTTTTAAAAGTCACATAGATACGGTGCTAAGGGACCTGGTTTAGCAGTGGGCTTGGTAGACTTAGGTTAAGGGTTGGACTTGATAATCTTAAAGGTCTTTTCCAACCTAAATGATTCAATGGAAAGGAAATGAGGGTCAGGAACAGCTACTAAAAAAATCAGGGGCAACAGGAGCCTGGAAGGCACAGACATCCCACAGGGTCCAGTGCACAGCGACAGGATCTCTGTTCACTCTTTACCACAAGCTCACAGAGGCATTTTAAAAATAAATAGAGAAATAAATGCATCCTGAGTCTAAGCCTGATGAGGATTACTGACTTCTGCCTCTCCCAAAATGACAGTCAAATATCTCTGATGGACTGACCCGAAAACATTGTTTTCCACACGCTCAAGTGGATGAACTCCAGGCATAGCTGGGTTTAACCAGCCACAGCCTATCAGCCAGGACAAAATCACAGCAGCCTACAGCCTCCTTTTAAGGGGTCAGCAGCCAATATGGCACTCAAGTGCATGAGCTCCAGGCATAGCTGGGCTTAACCAGCCACATCTCATCAGCCAGGACAAAATCACAGCAGGCTACAGCCTTCTTTTAAGGGGTCAGCAGCCAATATGGCCTTGGAGACCCAATGCCAAGAGTCATGCACTGCATGGAACATGGACCCAGTGGTAGAATTCCAGCATCTTCTCCAAGAGAAGCTTGCCAAACCTGTTGTTTTCTCTACATCCTGTCCCACGGGTGATGTTTGTCCACCTCCTCGAAGTCCTGGAGCACACAGGTCCAAATACACCCAGGGTGCTATCCTAGGGCATACATGTGCTTGCCACGGAGAGCCAAACGAGGCAAGTGGGATGCACATCTGCCTGTCTTTTGGACATCATCCAGGGAATGAATCCCACTGGGAAGTGCTCTGAGCATCGTGTCTCTGGGACCTCGCCCTGCAGGTGTGGCTTCCACCGGCCGGAGACTACCTGGTTAGGAATGCAGCTCTGGCTCTAAAGACAGCATTTTCCCAACACCCCTGCGGTCTAGGTGGTTGTTACAGGAAAGACAATTGAGACATCGGGGCAAAGTGTTTGTCTTCACACCAGTTTCTGATTCAGAGGAAGAGCTGGGCAGGGAAATACAAGTGTGCCTG